TTTTGGCCAAAAATAATGAGACAGGAGAGAGAAGTAGATCAGATGATCTGACATGCCTTTAGAAAGCCAGGGGCCCCAAATCACATGCTTGTCCAAACATTGATCTGGGTGGTTTAAAACCATTGTCTGGGGACTCATTTTGTTAACAGGTCTGTGCTTAGAAGTCCTAGTACAGAGCTACCACAGAGATAAAATTGCGTTAGCCCTTAAACAGAGATATTGAACTAAATAAAAAATGGAGTTATTGGATTATCTTTTATAGATTATCTGTCAGCACCTGAAACAACCAGCATCTTTCAGGGCAGATTGATTCGTTTTGAGATGCTGAATCTAGATCTCGGAAGCAAATACTTTTCAGTGCTTTCTTTTCCTTGCAGCAAATACAAAAGGCAATAAGAGATCACGAACAAGAACAGACTCCTACTCAGCCAGTCAGTCAGTCGGTAAGCATAGCATGCTGTTGTAGTTTATTTAATTTGTTTGGGGATTATTTTGTATTGAATGGAATAACATTTTGAAAAATGTTTTCTTAGTTTTTATTCTGAACATGTACAGAGAATAACGCCTTGCTGAATTAGGTTTTTAAGACATCTAGTTTCAACCGGTGTGTCTGTTTATCAGCTACTTCAGCCTGAACAGTAGTCACTGCTTTGCAGTCACATTAACACTGTAACATAGATAGCATCATGTCATTCTGGAGACCGTACAAGTTGGTGGAACCCACAGAAGAACTGACATATGATATTTGTTTATCAAGTTTACCGCGTAGGATTATGCAAAACCTGGCAGGCAGAGTTGCACATGTGCACACAGTGGAAAAACCACTATGCTAAATCCTAACAGTTGATTGTTATTGGACCTGTAGGCAAAATGTCAAAGGAAAGAATTTACAATATTTCTTTGTCTGGTTTCAGTAACTGAACACAGTACTTGGCCAGAATTTTAAGTTGATTGTGGATTTTTTCTGATATGCCTTAGAACTTGCAGTGTGTGCTAAATTTTCCTGATGTTTAAATAGGACTTTCAGCACATAAAGACAAGTATGTTTCTAATTTGAGTTTGTTCCCTTCATCAGACTGGTAGGGACATTCAGTACTGTTTGCCACCACTCTAAAGTGATGGTTTTAAGGTGTCCAGGAAGCTTTCAGGCAGTATGAAAATGAGTCCCAAACCCATTGTTTCCTTTAAAATCAAGGGGTTTCCATTGTTCCAGGTGCTATGCAGGAGACTCTCCTGAAAAAGCAACAATTTCCAATCTTATTTATATTTGACCACATTACTGACATTTCTTTCCCGTCCCCAGAAATGCTGGACAGTGTGGAGCTGGGCGAAACAGCCCACAAGAAAACAGGGACCACAGTGCCTGAATCCATCCACTCCTTTAGTAAGTTCTTTTGTTCTGAAATCATCGACTTCACTGTACTGCAGGCACGAGCTAACCAGCATGGAGCAGGAATAGTTCTCTGTCAGCATGAATAAAAAATGTAACAAGCTTTGGTTTTTTATTCAATTCAGCAGAAACATTATCCTGGTTTTCTGGCTTATGTCAGCTATTAAAAAGAAGCGGGGAGTAACTTTTTGGTCATTATTGTGGAAATTGAGTCTAAACCGTGTTTTTGCTTCTGTCTTCTAGTAGGGGATGGTTTAGTGAAACCTGAGGCTCTAAATAAGAAGGCCATTCAGATCATTAACAGGGTTAGAGATAAACTCACAGGTGGGTATATGCTTTGTTTTAAAAATCATTTAAAAATACACACAGGAGATGTATGTGTGCCTGCCCAGTGCCACTTTTAGTATTTCTATTTTGTGTTAGGATAATTTGAAATTAAATTAAGACTGTTCCTTAATTGGACAGAGCTATACTGCTGCTTTGCCTCCTCCACAGCCCTATGTATCAGGACCAGCCTGAAAAAAGTTGATCTTTTTTGGAGAATTTAAAGAGAATTGTAACTAAACGAGATGAGATTAGACACTTTTGGGTGGTGACTCTGAAAATAACTCTCAACGGTGGGTTCTTCCCTACGAGTCGTGCAGCTTGCAAAATTGAGATTCTTTATTTAAGACATACCCAACCGAGTGGGAGAGGGCTTCCTTCTAGTAGGGATTTGTGCTGAGTCACTTGGTAAACGGTTATTTTTGCCTGCCATTAGGAGGAAAATGGGTAGAGGAAGGAAGCAGCTGCTGCACTGTGGAAAACACTGGTATCCCCAGAGATTTTACTGGTGCTTTTGAGTTTTTTGCGTCCTTAAACAGTTCTGCACCATAAATATTATCAGAGGAAGAGAGAAAATTCACCTTCACATCACTGCCCTACCTACCACCCAAAAATCAAGCGGGGTAATTTGCCATGCAGACTCTCCCTTATGTGTTTTCCCTTTAATTTTAAAGGTCGAGACTTCTCTCATGATGAAACTCTGGATGTAGCCACACAAGTAGAGCTGCTCATTAAGCAAGCTACTTCCCATGAGAATCTCTGCCAGTGCTACATTGGATGGTGAGTTTGTTGTTATGCCAGCCTGGCAAAAAAAATCCCCTCTCAATTCTCCAGAACAAAGGCTTGTTGTGGGGATGCTGAATGGGGAGTAAGGAAGTTAAATATAGTCAGTCTTATTGGCCATTGTGTAAAGACGGCCAAGTAAATATTGTGCCTAGTCTAGCAAACTTTTTTGCGATTGTTTTGTGAGAAAGCAATCTGTTAGAGATGGAAGAGAGAATAAGGGCATTTAAGTTGCAATCAGATCGAAGGTTTTAGACTTGTGAAATTAGATGTTCCGATCCTGCAGGTACCAGTTGTTGAGTATGGTTGGGAAACTGTGCACTCTGTAATCAATATGGAACCTGTATGCCTCCATCCTCTTAGTTGTTCCTTCACTTCTGGTTGTATTCAAGGACGTTTAGACCTTTAGTCTGATGATAGGGAATGAGCATTAGGATCATACTGGGCTTTTCCTTGATTACAGAAAGGTTTCTGGACAGTATAACCAGTGCGTCTCAACATTTGTCTTTGCTTTTATGAAGCTGTAGGGAAGACCACCCTTCTTAAATCACTTCTGTTGTCTCCTTTAGGTGTCCTTTCTGGTAACAGAAGATTCTAAAGTATCCACAGCCTTTATTGGAGGCTTTTGCACTCCAAATGTATTCTTCTACAAGCTGAAAAGCTTGGACTGAAATCCAGCTTTTGTCAAATATTTTGAAATGTAAATGAAAAGAGTTATTGTATATTAAAAGTTGGTTTAAACCAATTTATAGCTGCTGTTAAAGAACATGAATTGTCCGAAACAGAAGACTTGATTTGGGTTTCCAGAACGGTGAAGATTCAACTAGACCATAGATATATGGTTTGTTTGGTCTTTGGGAATTGGGGATCCACTGAAAATAATGAAATACGGGTTTGAAATTAACTTAGTGTAACTAAACTAAAATAATTTGCAAATGAATTATTGCCCTGGTCAATCTTTTGGCTGCAGCTGCAGTGAACTCGTACTCACGCACGGGGGCTTGTTAGGGTTTGGGAACAAGTTGGGGTGCTGGAGAGCAAGAGACAGAATTTTCTCTGTACCTTGCATCATCTCGTGTGTTCTGAAACTGCTCCCACCCAGAAATCAATGAGGGATAAAGTTTGGCTGCAACTCCAGTGGTAATGCAACAAGCATATTTCATTCTAGCTTGAATAATAGGGGTAGATCCAGTCATAGTGTCTCAAGAAGGGTTGACCTGTGGCAAAAGGAAAGCAGGGTAGAATCAAAAGACCACTTGGGAGTTTCCCACACTAGCCAACAATAGAACAGTATTGGGAAGTAATTAAGAAAAACTGACTGCTTGGCATAAAAAGCAGTAAGGGAGAAGAACTGGTCGTGCTTGGAAATGGAGAAAATGTAAGGGTGAAAAAAAAGTAACAATTTATGAATAAAACAAATATTAAAATGCACAAGATACAAAGTGTAGCCATGTTTAGATGCCATGTTGTATTTGAATATTTTTGTGCCAATAAATTACACTCAAAATATACAAAAACGGTTTTGACTGGGTTTTTATTTATACCAAAGGATTACTTAGGAAGTATAAAGCTGAGGCAAGAAAGCCTCGTGCTAGAATACCCTGGAGGGCATAAACTGTTCATAGAGGATTAGATGCCTCTAAAATGTGGCTTGTAAGTTTGATTCTTGTATGCTTGTCCTCATAATTAGCAATTAGCTTGCTCTTGATAGTAGTGGAGACAAAATAATCAAGACTCGGGGACATCAGTCACATGCATTAAAGCTTACCTGATTTCTAAATCTTCTGGTTTATATCCAGTTGATTGTAATTATATCCCTGAATGGACTGCGTTTTAGCAGACTTTCATTAATTGTGATTTTTAGGTCCTCTTCTCTAAACACAAATTATCGTCTCTGCGGGACGCAACTAGAACTCTCATGCGATCTTTGTGTTGAATGTGGTTGCGAGGGAACAAAAGGTGTAGGTGTTCGACTGTGTAGCAATTTTTTCTTTACTGACACAAAATCAAAGGTGATGTAGTTTGGTGAGGATCACCTTGTCTGACCCCCTTGCAAATAACACAGGCTCTTGAAATTTATGGGGGTACTCCATTTGATGTCAGTTTAAAATAATTCCAGCATGACAGCTTGATAACACAAATGGCAAGTTCCTGGTCGTTTAGATTCATTTTTCTCTCTGCTGTTGCCACTTTGGAATAATCCTGACATGACAAACTGGGGCAGGAGTGACATTGCTTAAGATTTGAATGGTTGTCTCCACCTGCTGGCAAGATGAAGCTGGTGACTCGAGTCTTTGAACAAGCATAGCACATTGCAGCGCCAGCTCAGAAGATGAGTGACCTTGGGTGTCTCAAAAGATGCTGTCATCTAACTACATTCATCCTGCAGTCAAGTTTTTTGGGGGAATGTGGTATCTTTTATTAGAAAATGTGTTTTTTGCAAGGTTTTGGGCACAAACACCCTTCAGCCATAGGGAGAGGATGGAATAGAAACCGATATGTAAAATGCAGGTCTGTGAAAATGCAAATGCCAGGCATTGTGGATCAGAGGCCATGAGAGTGAGGCAGGCAGGAGGGGAAGGGGAAGATGCTGACCTGGTGATAAGTTGTAGCTGGTAAAATGCAGAGAGGTTACCTGGGTTTATTGGATGGCGGGCAGGTTATTATGTGCTGTAAATCCAGTGTCTATGTTTAGTCCGTGATTTTTTGTATCCAGTAATTGATGAAGTGAAGTTCATAGGCTCATCTACGAAAGGTGTTTTGTAGCTCCCCTTTGAGAATTAGAAGTGAGATTGGAGAGCCCTTGTCCTAGGGAAAGCCTGCACCCAGTTCTCACCACCATGGTCACACCAGCTAGGCTTTCTGAGACCCCAGGGAACAACGGGCTGGAGCACTGCAGAGGCCAGGCAGCCCCGGGGGCGCTCCTAGGCCGGGCTGGGAGAGCTGGACTCGGCCGCAAACCCCACCCCCGGCGCTGGGCCGGGCAGGAGGCTGCGCCCTGGAGCGCGGGAACTACGAGGCGGGAGAGGCGTGGCCTGAGCTCAGCCCCGCCCCTCGGTAGGCCTCGCCCTAGCAAGCTCGGAGGAACCAAGGGCAGCGACTTCCTCTCCCAGGATGCGCATGTGCTAACCAGCATGGCGGCCCCAACCTCGCGAGAGCACTGTACCACCGCGCGACTCCACGTCCAAGATGGCCGCTATCGCTGGGGGTGGAGGCGGCGGCAGCGCAGCGAAAAAGAGCAAGATGACGACCAAGAACAGCGGCGGCGCAGCCGGGGAAGGCACAGAGCCGCCGGGAGGCGGCGGGGATGCGGTGCTGCCTGGTTTCCGGGATGCCGACTCCTTCGCCAAGGTACGTAAGCGAGCGGCCCCGAGCCCCTTTTCTCCCAGGGTGCAGCGCGTGGGCCCCCTGGGCGCGGGACATGCTGGGAGCGGTAGTCCCTTCCTGCGGCTCCCGTCACTTAAGGCTCCTGGAGAGGCAGGTCGACGTTTCGCTTCCCAGCAGGCCGTACGCCTTCCGTACGGCGGCTGGCGGGGCCCGCGCGCAGCGGTGCATGTTGGGTGGTGTAGTTTTTTCCGGGGCCGCGTGGCGGAGCAACACAGACTACCCCCCGGGCAGCACCGGCCGCTCCTGCTGAAGACCGAGACAGCCTGGCCCTGATGTGTCCGTTACAACCTCCCTTCCCACCTCGGGCAGCCCCGGGTCCTTGCCAGGCAGTCGCGGGGCCGTGCATACAACATAACACGCACTCCTCATAGACCCCCAGAGGAGCAGGGACCTTCGGGGGTCACTGAGTCACACCCCCTGCCTGAGGCAGGTTCATCTCCGTGCAAACCATCCTGTACAAACCATCATCTAATGCTGTAAGACTGCTGCCAGCCCTGACGTGACAGACCTAGCTCTAACCTGCCACAGGTGATGCCAGGGAAGCACAGCCGCCAACGTGCTGCTTCTATGAAATGTTGTCAGTATAGATTTTTTTCTCCAGGGAGAAAGAAACTAGAAGCTTTATTCGTATGACAGGGGGCAGATTATTCAGTTTAAACTTGAACCAAAAACAAATATAACTTCACTGAAATGAAATCAAGACAGTCTGCAGGGCTGTGAGCTGGAGTTTCATTACCAGGGGCAGCTGAGAGAGAGCAGCCTGGCAAAGCAAAGGCTAGCTGGATTGGTGGGACATCAAGACTGTTAAGGGTTGTTAACGTCTGGGGAAGGAAGAGTTGAGAAGGTAGATGATGAGAACGAGCCATGAAATCAGGTGACTCCCTCAGCTTTGACTAGGTAGAAATGCTGCTGCAGGCAGTTGGTTTTAAACTTTGGGTGGAGCAGGAATCAAAGGAGGGTGCAGCTACCCAGTACATCCCACCCACCTCTAATCAACCCCTGGGCTTGTAAACATGATTCACAAGCTAAACCCAAAGATTTCAAATAGGAATCTAGTGGTTAAAAGTAATTTGACTTGTTCTGGTCTTTCTGAGTTCTCTGCAGCAGAAGGATCAGTCTGTTATTTTTCTGTGATCAAAAAACGAGTGAAAACAAAGCTGGCATTGTCCGAGGGCTTTCTCCAGTATATTGAGGGATGCCTTGAATCCAATCAGGTCAAGAAGCCCTGCATTAAAGGAAGAAAATGGTCGTGTTGACTTCATAAGCTCTTTTTTGAGCTTTTATTTCTTGCCAGTTTAATTCCAAACTTGACTTTTGGCTCCACCATGCCCTCCCCTAGTTTTAGGTTTATTTTTTGATTAAATGAAACCAGGGTGTCTCAAGTTCCTGTATTGAAAGTCCTGCTTCAGCTTTGGCACTCAAGCTGTAATGCAGCGCGAAGCATAGGAGTGCTGAGTGCTCATCTGACGGTGTCCTGGAAGAATGGCAGTACAGTGTGGAATAATGTTAATGTTGTGTCTCTAACAGTATGCCCTCGGCACAGTGGTGGCTGCTACCAAGGCATCTAATGGGCTTCCTCAGCCGGGAGACGAATACGACTTCTACCGAAGCTTTCCTGGGTTCCGAGCCTACTGTGAAACGCAAGGAGACAGGCTGCTTCACTGGTGAGGGGTTTTACTTCGGCCAGTGCTGAGATCTGTTGGTCCAAACCCAGATGCAAAGACAGAGAATCTTTTTGTTTGGGAACTCCAGAATAATTTGAGAGGATTTTATTGCAAGTATTTCAACTGCTTTCATAAAAAACATTTAAGCTGTTTTTACAGCATCTTACATTTTAATGGCAGCATCACCATTTCCCTGTAAGGATTTGGATGAGGAACTGTCAGAGCGGGTAGAAACAAAAATATAAACAGATGGCTTGCTTTGAATTCCTCAGACCCAGTGAAAATTAATTGCAGTTAATAACCAAGCAGTGCTTGGAGTAAACATTCATTTTATGTTCGGAGTTCAAGTATCTGAAGGTAGTATATCTGATATTGCAAACTGCAGAAAAGCCAGCGCTTGGGAGGAGTCTTAGTAAATGTTCTGGTTTTATATAGCTGCTGCTAATGTGATCTAACAAGTAGCATTCAGTGCACTGATCTCTTGTCAGCATGAGCAAATTGATGCAGTACCACAGCTGTCGCAGTCACATCAAAGATCGCAGCAAAGTGACAGAGCTGGAAGACCAATTTGATTTGTTGGTCGACTCCAACGATGCAATTCTTGAACGAGTGGTGAGTAAACCTGCCTTGTGGCTTTGTCTGGTCCCTGTTCAGCAGTCAAAGGGGAGGCTTCCTACAAGAATTTTAGTCACGCTCTCGCTCTGGTATCTGAATCCTGCTTCATTTTTAAAGTGTCACTAGCTGTTTGCCCTGGCATTATTCCTTCGGCATCTTTAGTTAAAAACACTCCAGCCCAACAGAGGACTGTTTTACTCAGATGTCTGTTTCTATCATTCAGATCATGACTACAGGATGGAACTTATACGGTAAGGGCAAAATGGGTATTTGTATTGTGGTAACACCTAAAGGCTCCAACTGACACAGGGACCTCTTTGTGTTGGTGCTGTACTTGCATGTGGTAAAAGAAAGTCCCTGACCGGAAGAGCTTTCAGTCCAATATTCACAGCAGACAGGTTGGAAGGGAAAGTGGAGACAAAAACACAAAGCGATTTGCCCAAGGTCACAAAAGAGATCAATGGCCAAGCTGGCAGTAGATGCCAAGGTTCTGACTGCTCCTGGAAGCCAGAGAGATACAGACAGAGCTTTCCATGGCAGACAAGGTGGTGGTGTTGGAGACTGGCAGAGAAGAGCCTGCCCATCGGGGTGCCAGACCAGCTGTATTGCTCATTACTTTACTCTAGGCACAGAAGGGACTTGGAATCGTTACACCAACCATAAGGAAGAAATCAAGCTAACAGCTGAGCGAATTAAAATACCACAGAGAGCAGAGACCTTGGCACTGTTTGCATTCAAAATCAGCCTCCTGCTTAAATCAGTCATCTAATTAGTGTTTTTCAGCCCCAAATCATAGCACATGGTGTTTTGGAGGCTTTAGCCTCCCAGAATTTTCTGCAGTCAGTTTCAGCACCAGTGTACAGCAACTGTGAACACCACCAAGCAAGAGTGACAGTGCAGCCTTGGACTGGAAGTTAAGCCGAACACTTTTCTGCCTCTGCCACTGTCTTGCTGTACAACTGTGAGCAAGTGGCACCACCTCTCTTTCTTTCTGTCTTGTCTGTTAAGAGTGTAAGATCTTTGGGGTGGGGCTGTATCTAACCACTTGCTTGTACAGCACATAGGACCCTTATTTCATTGGGCCCTCTAGGCATTACCTGATCTTCAGGCCAGTACCCAGCCATGAGACCATGCTTCCTCTATCATCATTCACTTTCCACCAAGATTGTTTGCTACAGTCCTGCTGTGCCAAGAAAACAAAATGCTAGGATATTCCTCCTGGTTCATCCCAGGTTGAAACACTAACAAGAGCACAGAGCTGGGAACAAAATGGTCAGGATATGGATGTCTGAAGACACCCCACTTGGATACTTTGGCAGTTGCACCTTTTGATCCTCCCCCTTAGGACTGATCCAAGCATTTGGCCACTCAGTCCTTCACTTTTGAAGGAGATGTGCGTGGAGGCAGCTGAACTTTTTTCCTCAGTAACTGCAGGTTGCTAAGTACAGCCAGGTTTCATGTGACATTTTTCCCCTTCAACTCCTTTCTTGGGTTTCAGGGTATTTTACTGGATGAAGCAGCGGGAGTGAACAAAAATCAGCAGCCTGTCCTGCCAGCAGGGCTGCAGCTCCCTGAGACCATCGTTTCCAGCTGGAACCGCAAGGTGAGGCACCCACAAGATGGTTGGTTTTGGTAAGCTTTAGCTTCTGTTTGCAAGTGTCATTGCTGAAGGTGATTCAGTGAGTTCAAGGTCTTTTAAATGTTTTTGGCTATGGTTCATGCTTTCTTTATTTCCCAGGCTTTAGTCCAGAGTCAGGATCCTGAGGGTTCTGGCTTCAATTTCATACACACAGAGGTTTTTTCTTAACCTAGATTCAGGACCCCTGGTTTGAGTAACATATGCCTCTTAGATGCTGTGCCCCAACTGCAGAAAAATGTCTTACCTTCTGGAGTATAATGCATCTGTGGGTATTGTATGAATCCTAGTAAAGCAGGCCTTTCAAAAACCCATTAAAATGTTTTTGTTTTTTTTTATTTTTAACAGAGTGCAGAAGCCAAGAGAACGAAGTCTGAAACCTTCCGGCTGCTTCATGCCAAGAATATTACTCGGCCACAATTAAAGTTTCGGGAGAAGATTGACAATTCCAACACTCCCTTCATCCCTAAACTTTTTGTAAAACCCAATGCTCTGAAACCACTGCCTGAAGGTAGGAGAGCAAAGGAAAGATGGCTGCCTTTGTCTTGGGTTGTGTATAAAGAACACCGAGCAGAAACTTACTCTGACAAGCCAGGAGAGAACTCCTTGAACCTAGCAGACATAGACCTGCAGAAGGAGACTAGAGTACTAGTAATCCCTGTAGTTTATCATTCTGTTATTTCATTTTATTTGTAAAGCTGAGTTGATGTAAAACTTCTTTGTGGGGAAACAGTAGCAGTTTGTAACTGGAGATTTTGGAGCTTACTCTCCCCCCAGTTACCTCCAATGACCAGTCTTCCCTTGCCATCAAATAGTAGTGTCAGGCTCTATATAAGTGCAAATGTCTTTCAGTTTGTAGAATGGAGAAATGGCCACACATCAGCTCCTTTGCTTTGGCTTGCTTATCCAAGCAGATGACAAGTGGCAACCAAAAGTTTCAGCTGTTAATTGTCTCCCATTACAGTAACATCCCAGGTCATTGCGTTCTGTGATTCTGCTGCCAGGGAATCAGCCTTACTCCATGAGGGAGCAATCACAGTCCATCTATTAACACTTGATTTGATTGTTGGTGTATTTTCCATGTCTTATAGTGAATAGAATAGCAGAAGACCTGCTGGTTGCCCTTTCACTACAGAGTAGCATTCAGCAGTTAGAACCCAGCAGTGGTTATATGAGCCACTCGTGCCAGATATGATTCATTTTTCTTTAAAAAGGTCACCCATTGCATTACAGCTGCTTCATCTTGCTCAAGTAGCACCCTAGACATATACCTAGTACTATAAATTGGGAGGCACAGGAGAAATCTCATACAAGGTGCAGAACCTGCATCCTCTGGTTCTCAGTACTTAATGGTGCTGCTCCTGGTGCTGGGCAGAGAAGCTGGGGTTAGGGATCAGCATGTCTTGCTTAGCTTTGTCTGATTGTTCCATCTCGGTCATTCAGCACTTGCCAAGAGCAGACGGGAGCAAAAGGAGCGTCCTGAGGACTTGGATGTGCCGGCTGCACTGGCGGATTTCCTCCATCAGCAGAGGACCCAGCAGACTGAGCAAGACATGTAAGAAATTGCGTATGCAGCAGGGTGCTAGGAAAGCCTATGGCTTTGAGTTTTATATATGATACCTTTATGCAGACACATCACATGCATACCTTTGGCCTGGGTGCTTTCATGAGTAGGTATTTGATGTGTCATCAGTTGTTCTCTGCATATGCATTCATAATTATTTTATGCCTACACATAACAAATCCACCAAGCGGTAAGTTCTGGTCAGTAACAGGCAAAGTGCAGTCACTTACAAAGAGTCACTGTTGCCTTCTCCCTTCAGCTCCCTGCATTTGATTGGAATGACGCCTGTTCCTTGTTTCTGCTTTTTGAAGGTTTGCTCACCCCTACCAGTATGAACTGGAACATTTTTCTCCACCAGATGTAGTTCTTGAGAAACCGGAGCCCCAGGTTAGTGGCAAAGTTACATTAGTAAAAGCCTAAAAGAGGGAAATGTTGAAAGCAGGAGTAAGTGATCTGTGTGCAGCAGATCCTGTTTCCAAGGTATTCTGTGGGAGGCAGTTGCCATGTCAAACCTTTTGTTTTGCTAGATGTTCAGGCCTCTTGAGGAAACGCCTTTCCATTTTGTCTCCACACTGGATGAGCTGGTAGAACTAAATGAAAAGCTTGTCAACTGCAAAGAGTTTGCTGTGGATTTGGAGGTAAGTTTTAAACTGTTTAAGTGCACTTCTAGCACTTAGAAAGGCATGTGCTACTACCCTTCTAGTTGTCAGTCCTTTTCAGTTCATTGCCTTGTATAACATATGCTCCTTCCATCAACTTCTTTTGTCATTATGTCTCAGCCCTACTAAATGTTGGTGACCAGAAGGCAGAATGGGATTATGATTGACCCCCCCCCTAATTTTGCAAACTTGATTATTTTGCAGCAAAGTTTGCATATTGAATTTGGTCTCTTTTGGAGTCTTCCTATGATCCTTTAAGTTATGCTGTGAACCATATAAAGAACCAGCTTAGCCTAAAACATTTTTCTGATTGTATTAATACAACAGTGGTAGTGATTGGAAGAGAACACATGTTCTTACCACTAATGACTTTTTAGACGATTCCTTGGTTACCTTTGCAGTGCTGTTGTTTCACAGCACTGCTCACTAAGCTAACTGGCCTCTTTTGTCTCCTGGTAGCACCACTCCTATCGGAGCTTCTTGGGATTGACGTGTCTGATGCAGATCTCCACCCGGACAGAGGATTTTATCATTGACACACTGGAGCTTCGGAGTGACCTGTACATTCTGAATGAGCCCTTCACAGACCCTGCAATTGTAAAGGTCAGTTGCCCCATTGCAGAATACTCTGAGTTTTGTCAGAGGGACTGAGCTGTAACTTGAACTTATGTTACTCTTCTGCCATGGCCAGCTCTGGACCTGATCCAATACCTGTTAGAATTGCTAGTAAGAGTTACTGGATACTGATTCAACCTTCATTTTCCACAGGCCATGGTGACATGCTAGCAACGTCTAACCTCCCTGGTACAGGGAGAAATGCTAGCTAGTTAGTAATAGCCCAGCAGTGAATCGGGTGCCTACCAGGCAGTTCTGTATCCCTCAGACTGTGCTGCAAATGAACCAGGATATCATTGTTTAGTGCTTCTCATGCATAAAAAAAAAAAGATCTCTGTCCCAAAGAGGCTGCATGCCAGACGAAATAAATACATAAGCACGCTGGGATGCATAGAAGCATAAACTGCAAAGGAACAGTAGCATTTAGGATTGGTTTCCTCAGTTTCAGCTTTCGTGGTTTTTATCATGTGTTTTGAGGGGAATATAGCTGGTTTCAATTTTTTTTGGTTTACTTGTGTCCCAATGAGAGACATGGTGTTGCAGTTGCATAGTCTGAGTGAAACTTGGCCTCAGGGTTCTACTGGCAATAAGATGGAGAAAGGCAAGCAAAGAAATCATTTTGAAACATGAGCATCAAACTCAGATGCCGGCAAGCCCGATGCAAGGCCTCTGCATGGAGTTGGTGGTCATGTAATCTTACTACCTTGCCGTCCTGTTTTGCCTTGCAGGTCTTTCACGGTGCAGATTCGGACACAGAATGGCTACAGAGAGACTTTGGCTTATACTTGGTGAACATGTTTGATACGCACCAGGCTGCCCGTCTCCTCAACCTTGGCCGGCATTCTCTAGACCATTTGCTGAAGCTCTACTGCAATGTGGATGCTGACAAGCGGTACCAGCTGGCTGACTGGCGGATACGGTGAGAGTTTGTGCTTGATGTATTGGGTTTAGAGTGAAGGGTAGAGTGTGCGGCTCATTTGTTTGTTAACACACTACCTTGCCTAGTTCCAAGTCATACAGTTCAGTGGGGCTTTTTGTTAGCTCTTTGCTGGTCTAGGAACAAAAAGTAGAGGCTTCACAACAGAGTTAAAATCCACGAGCAGACTTGTGAAATTAGACTGTTCTGTTCCAGCCAAGGCCCCACTTCAAGTTTCTATCCACCGGCGAAAAAAGCTGTGTCACTCAGCACAGTGACCAAGTAATAGGACCTGGGTTTCAAACTGAGTCCTACAGTTCCATCCACCTCCACAGGCCCACAAATAACTCAGGTGTGGTAGAGGCTCAGCAGAGCCTCAGTACTCCATGAGATACCTGCAGTACTTGATTCACCATGATGATACTGGGGATCTTGTTTTCCCAGCCATGAGATGGGCTTGTGGGAAAAACTGTCCTGTTGCTGCCCCTGAGTGGACTCTGCTGGTAGGAGTCCTGAAGAAACCCTGCATTCATTCCTGGGGGTGGGCTGAGAAGCAGCTTGCCTTGATGAGCACTGGCACAGGGGGTTGCTGGGGTGGCAGAGCTTCCAAGATGTATTTGTGCAATGAGTGTTCTCTTTTTGCAGCCCTTTGCCAGAGGAGATGCTGCATTATGCCCGGGATGACACTCACTACCTGCTCTACATTTATGACAAGCTGAGGGAGGAGTTGTGGAACAGAGGGAATGGAAAGCCCACACAGCTCCAGGTTGTGTGGCAGCGGAGCAGGGACATCTGCTTGAAGGTAACCTGCGGGGCACCAGCTCCCATTTGGGTCAGGGCAGAGAGGACCTATGGTTTGCCCAGCCCATTCCCATGCTTTTGGAAGAAAACACTTCTTCTCTGTGGGTATCTGGAAATATTCTGGCAGGTATACACTCATGACTAGTCACCACCAAATAAGTTAAAGGGCTTTACATTAAGACTATTTCCAAACCCCTGATGTTGACACTTGACACTTACCAGCTGATATTTCTCAAGCAAAATGATTCCTATCCCCATTTCTAATTCTTCTGGCTAGTCCTAATACGAGGTCTTGATGCTGGAGTGTTGTCTCACTGCGTGGGGTGCAGTGAGAACAGAAGGTGGTGTGTCCTCATCCTTGGAACACTACAGGCCTTGTGTATTTTAGGATGCTCTTGGGTTTACTTAGATTAAAACACAAAGATGAGAGGAGCTGTACTTGTGTGCGACTGATGGAGAGAATGCAGCCTGCAGAGCACCAGAGAGATGTGATGCACTAATGTTGATCACCTGTGTCTGACTTCTTCCTCTACAGAAATATATTAAACCCATCTTCTCAGATGACTCCTACCTTGAGCTCTACAGGAGACAGAAAAAGCATCTCAACACGCAGCAGCTAACTGCCTTTAAGCTTCTCTATGCCTGGCGGGACAAGCTATCACGCCAAGAGGACGAGAGTACAGGGTAGGAAGTCATTTGTTACAGGCAGGCCTTAATGTTTGGAATGAGTGTAAGATTCTGCTCCTCTCTTTGGGGGCAAAAAGTGGTGGCCCTGTTGCTAAGAACAGTTACTTTGGGTGCTTCCTACTCAGCCAAAACAATATCCGGTGAGGGGCACTCTTACTCTCTTCCTTTGCATTCCAAAGCAGAAATTGTGTATATGAACTTAAAGTATCCTAATCTGTCACATTAATGTTACCCTCTGTTGCAGGTATGTGCTGCCAAACCACATGCTGCTGAAGATAGCAGAAGAGCTGCCAAAGTAAGTCTCTGCTGAGCCTTGAGTATTGTACACTCATGTTCTGCAGTGTCCCACACCTGCCAGTCAAGTGTTTGTTGTTAGTTCCATGGTTGGCTAATCGCTCCCTGCAGCCAGTATTGCTTCTGCCCTCAGTCCTTCAAGACTGGGGAATTCAGTGCACAGAAGAAGTCAGATGGTAAGCTGCTCAAATCCAAAGGATTCCAGAATACTTCATTCTTCTAGTGCGCTCGTGCAAAGCATCATGACACTGTTGTAGGTCTTCCCACCAGGGGGTCCCAAGTTGTCTACCAGCATTAGAGAGAGGACTGATTTCCCATCTTGTGGCTGTTTAGTTTATGAGGGAAGTTATATATGTGCCAGGCCTCACTCCTGTCTCCCGTGGCATTCCTTTGTTAAACAAGCTTGTCTCTTGGAGCTTGAGGTTCACAATTGAACATCTTTTCTTGAAAACAGCCAAAATGATGCGCATAATTCAAAGCTGGCACTAGTGCCCCTTTTTATAGAGGGAGCGTGGGGAAGAATGCATGTATGAAGGCTGTATGCAGGCAGACACCAGTTCCCACCAAAGGGAAGGGCGGTGGGGCCAGCTAATGGATTCTCCTTGTCTGCACCATCCTGATTTTGAAGAATTTGGGGTACAATGGATATGCAGCATCTTACTCAGCTGAATTGCCGCCTTCTGTGGCACTGAGGCCTGCAGTAACATCTGACTGACAGTCATTTGTACATGGATGTTTGATTTGTCAGCTGAGAATATAGCAGTGTCTTTCTGTCTTTAGAGAACCCCAGGGCATCATTGCTTGCTGCAACCCAGTCCCGCCTGTAGTTCGCCAACAGATCAATGAACTGCATCTCCTTATCCAACAAGCCCGAGAGATGCCTCTGCTCAAGGTAGGGGGATCTTTTACCAACACATAGCAGAGCTCAGTGGCTGTGAATGTTACAGTCACTTTCTTGCCCTTGCTTTCTAAAGAATCCTAATGATCTTGTAGGTACTGGAAACCTAGTAAAAGTCTGTATGTGTAAAGCTGCTGCTGGATTTGGCTGTATGTGGAATGAGCCAAAACCTCAGTGTGAATGCTGCTTAGTACCAGATCCACTGTGTAAGCAGATCACTTGCTGTAGCAGTATTTTCACTGCAAGAAGGGAAATCAGACAGTAGTACTAGACCCTCTGGGAACTAGAGGAGTAAGAGGGTAAAAATACCCACTGTGAAGCAAGACACAGGCATCTCTGGGGTTTCTGACACTACTATTTTGCCTGTATCAGTTACCAACACAAGTAATTTAAACCTACAGAACTGGTTGGGCGTACATAAAAGACCACCGGGGTCAAGTCCCATGCAGTGTGGGAAGGCAGATGTGTGTACCTGGCCTAGTTGCTCTACGTAAGCTTTTCCTTTTGGCCGGCATGCTCTGCTGTGCAAAGTATACCCTTGTGTGGTGAAGTGGAAGTAGTTACGAGCTAGAGCACAACCTGGCTAGATGAAGGTTTAATTTCACCTGTCCTTGGGCAGAGAAACCCCTCACAAAAACAGTGAAGCTGTCATCCTACCAGAAGTGCTGAAAATACTGGTTAAAAGAAGCTTGTGTCTACAGTCTAGGTGCTTTACAGTGAATGTTTAGTAATTTTCTTATTTTCTTCTCACATCTAAGTCTGAAGCAGCTTCGGTGACAAAGAAGGGACCTCTTTCCAATCCAGAGGTACTGTGTATTCAACAGCTATTTAAACTGCCATAGCAGAAGATGTGATTGCTGAAACATCAGTCGGGCAAAATAGCACAAATCGATCAGCAAGCCAGTAATATGGTCATTTCTGGTGCTGACAGACGTAGTTGGGAGGACACAGTTTACCAAAGGAAGCAGCACATTAGTTCGACCCAGGTCTGCAGTGTCTGTATAGATTGGGTGCTCCAGCGGAGATTTTCAGCGCTTTTATCTAACACGAATTCAATCAGCTACTAGATAAAAGCATCAAAACACAACTAAAGCACCTGGTCTATACAGACATTGGTCAAGCCAGGTCCAACTAATGCACTGTCTCTTCTGGACATGTGCTGGGCTTGGCACAGGCATGCACTGAGTTTTTAAAGTAAAGCACTGTTGGGTGGGGGTTGGTTTATATCTGCAAGCAGCCTTCCAGATTGCTGATCTTTTCCTTTCAGCCCAGTTTTTCCCTTGTGTGCTCGAATGCCTGTAAAACTGTCAGTTCTAAATCAGTGTTTTAAAACTTTCAAGAAGGATGATACAAAAGTCTTCCATCAGTGAATGGTTCAGCTGTTGGATGGCGTTTTGTGGCTATTTATGAAGTCTGACATTTAAGAATGGAATTTCTAGCTGAGTTTCTGCAACAGTCATGTGTGAAGTACAGTATTCTTGCTAACCCAGAGACGCATCCTTCTGGTACAGGCTATGTGTGCTAGCAGCTGAGCTGCGCGTTAGGAATACCTAGCCTTAAATATCGTCCGTAAATTTAGATTGTGATTAGTTTGTTGGTGTCTTCTGTGTAAAAACACCTATTATGTTGTACTGATCACCTGTGTCACTTGAATTTTTTTGTAGAAGCCAGAGAATCACTTATTTGGACCTCATGACAGTTCCCACATTACCCTGGACGATCCCCAGAACCACTTGTCATTAGGTAAATCTGGAGACAACTTCTAACTTGTGCTAAGTAGGAAGAAACATGGGTTCATTAAGAGTCATCTGACATGTTAAGAATAGTGTTGACAGACAGGGGCATCAGAGCACAAAAGTGCAGTAGAAAAGAATGCTGCAAAAAGCTAAGCTCTTAATTTTTCTTTCTCTGCAGCACCTGCACCAGCTCTGAAGTGTGGGAGTCTCTTTTCAGACGGGGAAGAGACGGACAGCGAAGGAATGTTACCAGATTCCACCTGCCTTGTTGCTACAGCCACCATCAGCATCTTCAATGTAAGTTCTGGTAGTACGAAGGGGTCTGCAGTTGAGTAGGAGAACACAAAGATTTGCTAATTTGTTATGGTAATCTAATAATGTTATGCAAAATGCAGGCTATTTGCAAGGATACATCAAAACCAAGTAGAGCAGGCAGGAGGCCAGGTAGAAAGTTAGCTAGTCTTACAGTCGAAGGGTCACTGCCCTCATAAGGGTGTCAAACAGAGTAGAAAAAGATACTGTAAGCTCCTAAGTAACCAAAAATTCCTCGGACTGAAGCCAGCGATAGATGTGAGACTGGCGCACAAAGCAAGAGTATATACTGCCCTTCAGAAACTGGGACTATATGAGCCCATCAGGGCTTGAGGTCAGTTTCTGTCAGTAGCACCTCAAATTCCTTGTCTCCACCCTGCTCCCAAACAAAACCTCAGAGAGGATGTCCTAAATTCAGTTTGCCTTCACCAACTATTCCAGTGCTTGGTGAGAGGGTTCTACAGAAAAGTTGCAGGCGACTGTTTAATTGTTTTATAAGCTGTTTTTTCTGCTTGCTTGTAGGAACCTGATGTGGAAGAAGGAGGGACTGAGAAGAATTTAACAGTTGCACAGCAAAAGGCTCGGCGCATTATGGAGTCCTTTGAAAACCCATTCAGGATGGTAAGCAGCACAGTCTGTCATAGCTGACATACGTCAGCCAACATAGCTGGTCCCTTAAGGCAGGAAGGGTAGAAGTGTTTACAAAGCAGTCTTGAGAGACTCTGATACAGCATCAGCTAGTGCTCACTTGCTGGAAACAAAGGACTTCATGCCAGGTGTATTTTGCAAGGAAAATGTGGTTGTGTAGAGAAACAGGCAAAGAGGAAGTTCAGCAGGTTAAAAAATCAAATGTATTTATAAACTTACTTGAGATATTTTTATAAAAAACAAATCTGGTTTACTTTTTAGGTCTTATCCCCAATGATAATGTTTTACCATTTTAATCTGATGGTGTAAATGAGTTAGTTTCACTTCCACTTCGTTTCATTGCTAGTTTGGCATGTACTTCACTAGGATGTTTGGAGTTACAGGCTGCAGGAGGCGATGTGGTTCTTTGTAAAAGGGGAACTTTCTATAGCATCATAAGAATTTGAATTGGCACCTTCTAGGTCTGCCCCTTAGCTGTGTCTAGCTAACGTGTGGGATCTGGTCACTGGAACATGGTGTATTTTACACTCAGGTTGCTCTTTTTTTCTCAGTATCTGCCTGCACAACAGAACCCTGCCCACGTCTCTCAGTCAGCAAAGTTTGACCCATCATCCAAAATTTACGAAGTAAGTGCTTATCTGCCAAACATTCTGCAAACTGCTGAGTTCCGCGTAAAAGAACCCAGTGGCTCCAGATCACTTCCTCCTTTCCCTGGGAATATTTGAGGTGATGAGGAGGTGTGTTGTTGTGCTTTGTTTGTCTTGGTGTCCTTTCTCCTCCCGTGAGAGTTTTCAGAACCTGCTTGTTCCAGGCAGGTTTTTAGAGCTGCATCTTCTCTGGTAGCTGAGCACAGATCTCTTACAGCATTCCTATCCAGAAATGTCACTAGAGGAAGGGGAAACACAGTCACTCATATCCCTTACATTGCAAAGCAAGAAGCTGCAACTAAATCCCAAGATGCTCTTGCACTTTCCTGTGGCACAGGACTCGTCAAAAGCAGAGGGCTCCTCTTATAACCCAGAGATTTCTGCAGCAAATTTTAATCTCTAGTATAAAACAATTTTCTCTTCTCATACTGTGAAGGCAGGTAGGAGGAGGTGGGCAGGACTGTGAGCTTTTTCCTCTACTTGCCTGACTTCAGAGCAAGTGAGTGATCCTGGATAATTGTTTCTTTTGGCATAGATCAGCAATCAGTGGAAGCTGATGAATCAGACACAACTGCAGAAAGAGGCAAAGGAAGAAGCCAAAAAGAAAGTAGCACAGCAGACAGGTAATGCCCAATTCTTTGGTGGTTATTGATGGAGAATAGTGGACAAGGGTGAGTCTTCTAGCATCTCCTTGTAACAGCACTGTCTGGGCCCTGCATCAGTCTTTTGTGCCAAAATGCTCTCTGAACTAGGGTTTAAATCCATCAAAACCACAAGCTGATTTGTGTGGCTAGTGGGAGAATGGCATAATGACTTTCTTCTAGTCTAGTAATAATACTTTTGTGGCACTTCCAGATCCTGCTAGGACTGGAAATCAGATGCAGAACTTCTTCATGGTAGCTCAGTGCCAGCATCTGAATGATCCTCACAGTAATCCCTAGTTTAATGAAAAGATCGCATTCTAGCATGGCAAGCCTCTGCCTTTTTTATTTTCTCATCCTATTAAGGCCAAAACATCTGACTCCTGAGATATGGGGATTAATGCAGTGGTAGAAGCATCTGCAGTGCAGACAGGTGCCTTGGCTCACCTCCCTCCATTACTAGCAGTGGAGTGGTGGTTAGGGAGCTAGGAGAGTACAAATGCAAAGAGCTAAGGTAGATAGTTCTTAAATAAAGTGCCCTGTGTGTTGTTCAGGTATCAGCCAGCAGCTGCCTTCCCCCAGCTCAGATGTCATTGTCCTGTCCTGTAGTCGGGGAACTCAGAACCATTCAGATACGGGTTTCACATTAAGGAAATTGGACCAAATCTGGTGTATGAGGTTTGCCACTGCAGACCTGCTCCATGGTTCATTTTGAGACCTCTCCTGACAGACTCATGCTTTGTTCCATGTCTCTTGCATGCATCGCATAATGTTTTGGGGCTTTTTACCCCCCACAGCAGCTCGGGAGCAGGCCCAGAAGGAGTGCAAAATGGCTGCAGAAAACGTTGTTTCAGTTCGTCAACAAGCAGCGGTACGTATCCAGGCGTCCTGCAGAAACCACATGTTTGAGTGTCGGGCAAAATAAACATAGACCCTAATCTCAGAAATGTATCCTTCAACACCAGGTCTCAGTTCATGGCAGCTGACTTCAGGGGGCTTGAGAGGTGATATCTGTTGATAGAACCTTTCTTGGCTTCTGATCCTGTACATAGCAACAGCCTGGTTTCACACCCCTGGAGACCTGTACTGTGCTTCCCATACTCCAGATTCAACTGTTCTTGCAAATATGTTACATTGCATGGGGATAGCAGCACCTCTACACCCCCCCCCCCCCCCCCCCCACCCCCAACCCCATTTTAACCTGGGCCGGGGGTATTTTGGGTTTTTTTTTGTTGCCTGGGTGTTTTG